ATCAAACAGGTTCGCCCCTCCTGATCATGCCAAGTGCCGACCAGGTCGTCGGAGATACTGAGGTGGAGGGCGAAGCATAGCTCATAGGAGGACACATGGATCAAGGTACCGAGGTGGCTCACCCCGGCCTGAGAGACGACCGCATGCTGGAAATCCAGATAGGTCCACTCCCCCAGGCTGGAATGAATGCCGAGCAGGACAAGGAGTCCGAGGCCGACCTGGACCAGGTCAGAGGCCAGAGAGCCGGCAAGGAGCCGGTCTCGCAGGAAGACGAACTCGACTCCCAGACTCAATATGAAGGAAAAATGAGCACCAAAAGGGCCGAGCCCATGGACAAAGTCTAGGTCATTTTCATTGACGAAGAGACTTGTCAAAAGCAGCTCCGGATCGGCAGTAAATTGCCAGCGCCATTGAAGGCCGAGCTAACTAGTTTCCTTCGAAAAAATGCGGATGTTTTCGCGTGGACCCACGAGGACATGGTCGTCATTGACCCAAGGGTCGCCTGCCACAGGCTGCAGGTCGATCCCACGGTCAAGCCAGTTGTCCAAAAGAGGAGGAAGCTAGGGCCGGACCGACAACAAGCTCTCGAGGAAGAAGTAATCAAGATCAAGGATAATGACTACGTTCAAGAGGTCCGGTACCCGACCTGGCTCGCCAACCCGGTACTCGTGAAGAAGGCCAGCGGAGCATGACGCCTCTACATCGATTTTTCTGACCTCAACAAGGCATGCCCCAAAGATAGCTACTCTCTGCCCCACATCGACTATATGGTGGACGCCACCTCGAGGCACGAATTGATGAACTTCATGGATGCATAATTCGGCTACAACCAGATCCCGATGCACCAAACGACGCCGAGCACACCTCCTTCTACTCGACACGCAGACTCTATTTCTACACCATGATGCCTCTCGGGTTGAAGAACGCCGGGGTCACCTACCAGCGCCTAGTCAATAAGATGTTTGCAAGTTTGATAGGTGTTAGTATGGAAGTGTATGTAGATGATATGCTAGTCAAATCCGTGTATGCATCTGATCATGTTAACGACTTCAATTAAATGTTTCCCATTTTGCGTGATTACAACATGAAGTTAAATCCCAAAAAATGTACCTTCAGTGTCGGCTCGAGAAAATTCTTGGGCAACATCGTCAGCCCGCGCGACATCGACGC